GAAATTTTCCCCTCATTGTTTGCTGAAAAGCCAGAAGATATCGGGCCGCAATACAACAATGGCAATGCAGCACCTCTGCAGTTGGAAATTCTTAGAATTACTTGTTATTGAAGGGCGATGTATCTGGTCGTATGGTTCACAGTTTTGGATTGTCGAATTTTCGTTAAAATAGCTTTGAAAGAATAAGTTTTGGCACCATCATTTGATTTTCCAAGAGAAACTGAGAAGTTAAGTTTACGCTAGAGAAAATCGTATATGTCTAGAAGATTACAGGATATTGTTAACGTTAGATCGATACACTCCGGTCACTAAATTAAATGATGAAATTCTGTCACAATATACTTTCCAATTTAGTTTTAATAAACATAATACCCGGTGATTAAACACAGAAAACAAAAAGCTTCAAGGCATGGGAAGTTGAATGAAACCGAAATAAATTACTTGAATCAATGTCAAAACTTGTAGTTCACATGTTACACAGTTACTATCAGCATTCATTTCGAGACAGGTTAAGATGAGTTTGTAAGAGAAGTAATTACAAATTAACTTATTCTATAAGAAAATGCGAGCGGTTTTTTAAATCCATCGGGAATGTTCTTTACAAACTTCGGAGTTTCAACATATTCGAAAGTATACGAGGACGAAAACTGCTTTAATTTACGGTATTTTTTGAATTTTGATGGATGTAGTATTGTGGTCGTATGGGCAGGTACGAGCGAGAAGCAATCCGCGTATTCCACATTCCTTCCTGAATGTTGCTCAGCGGCATGCAGAACGCCTAGTTTCCCTTTCTGCAACTGGATGCTATTGGATTAATCGAGAACTGATCTGGAGGGAGTTCCGATATTCCGATTCCAAATCACCACAGTGGACGGTCAGCAGACGTATTCCACCAGTGCCCCGAGTTTTCATCGAAGTTTTACTACACCTCCGCCCGTATGTATGATTGGAACGGTACGAGACTCCCGCCTTATACATATATTTTGCTATCGTTTCCACAAACATGCAGGGCGAACATAACTCATCAAAAACTAACGCGCATTCTAAAGATTGTCTTCTCTCTCCCTGGTTGGTTTGTTCTAGATCAATAAACTCCAACACCGTTTGACAGATTTCAATGAACGTTGGCACATCTAAGTGTTTTTTCATTAAGAATGTTTTTATGCTGTTCATTTTGTTGTTACTCCACTAGATGGCGCTGCATCACAATATGGATATTCATTTTTATTCAATTCCCAATCCACCTGGGCTTCATTGTTGCTCATTGAAATCCCCGATAAACCCGTTCGACGTTTGGAAACTTCAAACTCCCCACAAACAGAGCGAACGTTCTTTTACCACACTTATGAATACTAGGGTGGTGTCTTGTAGCATTATACTCTTCACAAACCAAGTTTCACACCACTGTAGAGCTGCGGTGGATTGATGACGATGCCTGCGAGCCTGCTTCCCCACCCTGATCAGCCGCGAGATACTGGGGATCTGAATACCTGCATCGGAATGCCTGCCATCCGCCCATGCCTGCCTTGTTGGCATACAATCATACATGGCATCAATCATACATACATACATGGTCCCAGCCAGCGTGGATCTTTTGCCCGCCGTCACTACGTGGAGGAGCCCTGATCACAGGCCCAGGCAATATAATTCAACTGCTATGTCGATTTTTACGATCAAAATTAATACCGATCCCCCCGGAATAAATAAATAAAATGACACGGTGTTTTTTCGCGATTAAACAAAGCAACAAAAAACTGGAGGGTGGTGAGGCAATTCCGGCGCGTTAACATACGTAGAGAAACATGTCTTTGGGTCTGACACCTTTTTTGTGTCCCTGTGATATTGTTCTTAATACAACACTTTTAATGTATGACAAATTAAATTTTAATACGTCAACTATGGATTGCGTTTTATAATTAAAATACATTATGAGAATTGTTTTTTCAGTATGATCTTTAAACAATTAAAATCTATATTTCGTTCTTATTTTTTTCGTTTAAATAGTTATCGGATATCAAAACTGTGTGACCGTTGGCTAAGCAGAACCTCCCGTGTCCCGAGAGAACAGAGCAGTTGGTTCCAACGCAGAAGAGAGATGTTCTTTTCGGACCTCGTCCTCCTGCGAGGGTGTCCGCTCGAACTTGTCACTTCCAGACTCCTTTCTGTTTTTTCCCTTTCGAAGCCTTGCACGTCCTCTCGTATTCCCAGATGAACTCGGGCCTTTTCTTTTGATCCGCCCTCCCTTCCCACCGAGTTAACATCTTATCCATTGAGTTTTTTCATCAAATGACTGCGCTTTTAAGCTCTCGCATTCTATTTAATTTTGATTTTTTTCTTTTAATTTTTCGACTGATATTCGTTACAGCGGAGAGATTTAGTTTTAAGACAATATGAAATCTTCTGTACGAGATGTATTGCATTTACAATATGTAATTTTATAGTTTTAATTTGAATAATTTCAAATAAATAATGTCGCTTCACGTATTTGTTTTGAGGAGAAGAGTTTTACACTAAGATGAAGATTTTTTTGTAAATAGCAGAAAGATAATTAGAGGAAAGAATTGATCACGATATAACTTAAAAATAATTGAAATTATTAAAATTTTTGTTTTCTATTATTTTTCTCTCTGATGTTAATCCCCACCCTTTCCATTAAGAAGGAAACTTGTTAAAGTGTTTATTTGTTAAAAAATGTATAAAGGTAACTTCGTGTTTACAAGATGTCAGACAAAACCTAGTGGTGGTATAGAATGGAACAGACTTTCTCGTAGTAAAGATTTTTCCTTGGTGTAAACTGGCTTTACGGTCTTGCCCCATCCTCTTGCCAGCTGCCATCTATCGCCGCCCAAAGTACATTTTTTAGACATTTTCCCAATTTTTCGGTTTACTAATTGTATAACCGGAATATTTCTTTTAGAATAATAAAGAAGAGTAAAACCTTATCAGAAACGCCTATTTTCATTGAAAAATTTGGAGCCGTTTTTAAGAAAATGGCGTTTACGCGTTACTGTAAATGCGATATTTGAAGCTCTTTTTCAGAGAAGATTTTTGAGTTTTCGCAAAAGTTAAGTTTTTAAGGCCCTAGAACGCTTTATTTAGGAGTGATTTAACGATAAGGCTGACGGAGTGATGCGGGTTGCATTTGATATGAAAATTTGGATGGCTTTTTTTAAACATATCCGTCATATTTTTGAAGTGAAATTCGCCATGTTTCAGTGAAATTATATTTTTTAGAGAGCTGATTTACAAAGGTCGGTTGCGTATGAGACCCGCAAAAGGTACTACTACACTAAACTATACTACTAAAATAGTATAGGAGACGATCGATCAAGTTATTCAATTGTAACCGCCATAAATTAAAAAAAAAATGAAAATACTGATTGATCTCAATTCGTAAAATAACTTACGCCTATTTCATTTAAATGAACTGTTAACGAGTCCGAAAGAACAACGGAAAATGACTTGAGAAGTTCTCGTTTCCCTAACGTTTGATGTATTAGTTCAGGAAATGTTAGAACTATCTCTTTCGTTACATTTTGAAAACTTATCGTCCAAAATAAATAAAATTTGCTAAGCACAAAAAACTCCGCCCGTTAAATTTAGTTACTAAATGTGTTGAAAAATGTGAGATGTGCCTAAATGAAAACATGGAGGTCATTGCCATCCGGAAACTTATCACAGGCAATATTATTAATATATGATCTACAAAAATTAGGGCATTTGTTCCCAAAATGTGGTTTCATTTACTTTATATAAAATGCAATAATTGCATTTGAGGAAACGAAAGGATTGATGGTGAGTGTGAGAGGGGAAGATCATTTTAGTTTTCCTTCAATAAACGATTCTGCCAAAAATGTGAAAATTATTTCCTTTAAATATGAAACGGTTGCCATCTCGAACAATGCGGCCTAACAGTCTGCTGCGCACCTTCCATCTGTCTACAAGTACGAACCAAAACAATACGTGAGTAGATATGAGATTTCAATAGGATGGAAATCAAGGAGACGGAAATCACATAACACAGAAAAAATACGAGTAGTACGGGGCCACGTACAATAGTAGTCAGTCGAATGGCTTCAGACGTAGAGTTGGCGTTTGTCTGGATATTTGGAAGCTTTGATTATATTCAAGCTAGCTTGCGCGTTCGTCAATTCAAGGCTAATATTCAGCCGAAGGGACTGCTCTTGCCACTCTTCTACGGAAAATTACGTAATGAATTCAGTTATCTTCCCTATCTTATACAGACACTTGAACAACGTACGTGCAAAGCAAGCACAGCTAGCATACGTGACAAAAGCGCTACAAATTCTGAAAAAGTAATAAATTGAAGATATGAATCTTATTATTTAGCATTATTTTGTTTGGTAACAATATTACGACTCAAAAGCAGATTATTTTATGTCTGTATGAAAATGAACATGTATAAAATATTAAATATTTAGATTCGTATGTTTTAGTACTGCATATACATTTTTTTTGGATTTCAGACATTATAAAAAATTAATTAAAAATACAAAGTTGGAAAAATGCCACCAAAAGAGGCCTCAGTGTCCAGGCCGTGGGCGAGTACTTTATTCAACACGTCATTACCACATTATCAAATAATTATCAACAATTAGAGCGTAGGCTTTCGCGACCGGAGTCAGTTACTACTTCACGGGAAACGCTGCATCCAAGGCACAGGTGCTAACGCTTCAGCCGCCATTTCGCGACCTTCCTCAGGGCAAAATGTCATTTGCCTAAATTCCCGAGGACGGTCGCAGAACAGCGGCCGAAACATTTGCACGTGTGCCTAGGACAGCCAAGAAGTCTAATGCTCGTCTTTGCTTCGTGCAAACCGACCAGAGCCGCTCGCAAGGCGCGAGAGACGGGTCCTAGCAGACGGTGGCGGCGACGGGGCCCCCGGCGCGTGGCCGTCACGAGCAGGAGGGCGCGCGCGGGGGCGGCCACGAGGCGGACGGGAGGGGCGAGGGGGGCGAGGGGGGCGCGCGGCGCCTTACTTTCCGGCGCTGCAGGGCGCGCGCGGCCAGCCCGCCCGCGGCGCCGGGCCGCCGAGGCATCCGCAGCAGCTGGCGCGCCGAGTGGCGGAAGGCACGCGTCATGAAGCAGTACACGAGCGGGTTGACGGCCGAGTTGGCGTGGCCCAGCAGCAGCGAGTAGCGCAGCAGCGTCATGAGCGGCGGCGACGTGGGCAGGAAGTCCATGACGACGGTCAGCACGTGGTAGGGCAGCCAGCACGCCGCGAACAGCGCCGCCAGCAGCGCCAGCAGCCGCGCCGCGCGCCGCCGCTCGCGCACCAGGCTGCGGCCCTGCGACACGCGGCTCTCTGAAGCAATCCTAAGCAGCGCGCTTGTGGGGTACAACATTCAAATTCATTGATTGATTTCTGCTTCAGAAGTGGACAAGCTCTAAGATACCGGCAAGCGCGCCTCCCGGCAAGCGCGCCTCCCGGCAAGCGCGCCTCCCGGCAAGCGCGCCTCCCGGCAAGCGCGCCTCCCGACAAGTGTGCCTCCGTGTGTGTAAGTAAGGGGGTCCCAAAAGTTAGGCGCATGATGAGGATAACGAGAAAGGCATTTAAAGAGAGAAAACGCAGTAGCCAGCTTTTGAATATTTTTTGAAATTGTTCAAAAGAATTGGAACGAGAAAAGAAAAATCCTCAGGAGGCATATTTAAAGAATGTACTAGATGGGAACGGAAACAACTGGACAGGATTTTATAAATATGTTCGTAGAAGGAAGGGAAATAAAGAGGTTATCCCAGTTGTTCGGTAAAATGGAAACACGATCATTTTTGACGATCGAGTAAAAGCTAAGGCGCGTAATAAGTATTTCAGTTCGGGATTCAAAAACAATACGAATCCTCCACTAGTTCGTGGGCCTTCAGTTACATATCTGTTTAATATTGAAGTAAACGTTCTTCGCAAAAAAGTAAAATATATGAAAAATAATAAGTCAAGGGGACCAGGCGATATTTCTACGGATATAATTAAACTAGGAGGCGAGGCAATATTACCGCATCTAATTAGAATATTTCTTTTGTCCATGAACAATTCAAAGGGAACCGAAAATTGGAAATTAGCTTTTGCCGTGCAATTTTTAAAAGTAGTGACAAAACCATATTATGTTATTATAATCCAGTAAGTCTTACGTCAGTGGCCTGCAAACTTATGGAGCATATAGTTTAGTTACATAATGTAAGAATGGGAAAAAAACATGGCTTTATGATGCCAACACAGGTTTAGAAGTGGTTTCGCATTCAAAAGTCTGGTAGTCACGCTATTTCAGGATCTAGAAGATGAAATAGACATGGGGGGGGGGAGAGTAGACGCAGTAGTTATAGATTTTGCCAAAGCGTTCGACGTCAATCCACACGGTCGGCTAGTTTAGAAATTAATTCAGGCATTGATCCCAGGGTGGTGGGTGTATTAGCGAGTTTCTGCGAGACAAAACAGAAATGGGCAAGATCTCTTCCGGGGCAAGCGTTACGTCAGGAATACCGCAGGAGTGTTATTGGACTTTCTATTTCTGACTTTCGTCAATGATCTGCCAGCGCACTTAATCTCAAATATTAGGTTATTATCGTAGTATGAATTCGAAAGAAGAAGAAATGCTGCAACGGGATCTTGATGCGTTCTATTACTGGGCGGAAAATAATGGAATGACCATAAATAGCTCTAAAAGCAAATCCATCACTTTTGTCAGGAGTCATAATTACAGAAGAAGAAAATACTGTTTAAACAACGACATTATTCCTAGATTTTGTTCGTGTAAGTACCGAGGATTCCATTTCGATAGTAAATTAAGCTGGAAAAGTCACGTAGATTTTGTTGTAGGGAAAGCCTGGAGATCTCTTCACTTCACGAAGGAAATTGCTTATTTATCGTTTGGTCGTCCGATAATGGAATATACATGGACGTCCGATAATGGAATAACAATTTGTTGGGATCCGAACAGAATTATGCAGTGTAAAAATTTGAAAAGGATTCAGCGTAGGGCAGCTAAATTTATTTTCAGGGACAAGAAAATGGCAGGGTGGGATATACTCGAAAACAAGCGATGAGTAACAAGACTCTGCGCTTTGTATAAGGTTATAGCGGTCATCGAGCTTAGAAAGAGATTAATCGGGGGCTAAGTATTCCTACATACATCAGTAGGGAGATCACAGGCACAACATAAATTTAAGACCGCAGAGAAAGGATGTCGGGAAATTTTCTTTCACAAATCGAACGATAACGGAATGGAATATATTGCCTGTAAAGAACTTTCAACCTTTCTATTTCAACCCTTTCCCTTTAGAGAATTAATTTAAGGTATCACTAAATAAATGAGAGACGTGACTACGAAAAGCAATGCATAAGTGTTATAGTGCGAGGTGAGATGTGATGCAGTGCAGAGCAGAGAAATAACGAAGGAAGTGATTGAAGGGTCATTGTGAAATGAAGTGAAGTGAAGTGCAGTGTAGGGCAGTGAAGTGCAAAGTGGTCTTAATTGTACAAATATTAAAAATTAAATTGTGCAAATACTCAGTGTGCAGTTAGATTATGGAATTTTATTTTTCCTAATGTAACAATGTAACAATGTTTTATGAATCAGTCAGTTTTTATATTATTATTATTATTTACCGCTATTTTTATTATGTGAATTGTATATTAATTATATGGCCTTATTTATTTAATAATCTGCCACCGAGTTATATTCAATTACAATTAAAATAAATTTATTTTATCTGAATAGAACATATGAAAAGAAGGAGATATCGCGCGCGGTCCGTGGCCCGTTACTTTAGGATACTGATCCGGCATTCGCCTGGTTTGATCGGAGAAACCACGCAAAACTACCGATCAGAGCAGCTAGCCGCTAAAATTCTTTTCCAGACAGCGACTGAATTCCACTTAGCAGTCTAGCTAGTGTCGAATACCCTGCCACTGTCGGGACTCGAACCCTGGGGTCTTTCGATCAGAGGCACTGCAGTGACATCAGTTGATGCCCTGAGCCTCCTTTGCTGGAAGGGGGTGTAAACGATGGCACTTTCTGCAAATAAATAAGTGGTGGGAAATACCATCAAACGAAGTGACACATACTATAGCATTAACCTATGATTGTTAGACAACTACCCATGCACTGCGGGACTCGTTCAAACTCAGTCGAAGGGATTTCGCCTACCTTTTGCCCGTTGGTGCAGGAAGAGTTGCCTAAAATCAGGGGTGAATTTCACGTGTGTAACTTCTTAATATAAAATATTATTGTTTATATGACATTTACGATCACATATTCTTTTGCAATAACTTATTATTTTCGACCCCTCTGCGAATGTTTATTTGAATACTCAATGAACATGCTTTCAAACCTTTGGTTTCATTGAGTATTTTCATTGAGTAACATGGTATAAGATAAAATATACAGTTTTTTGCTTGCATTTCCGCAAAGATGCGGAGCGAACATTACTCATTAAAAAATAACGGGGGCATAAGAAATTATCATGTTAAGCACTAAGGCAACAATGACAACAGTAAATTTAGATATTCTTTCACGGTAAATTGAATTAGCAAGACATCACTTTTACAGAAAAATAATTAAGCAAAATTTTATTTTGGTCCCATAAACGTTTTTTAAGATTAAATGTTATTTTAATATAATAAATACAGGTAGATTAATCTAAAGAGCCTATCTCTGATTTTACAATTTTCAATTTTAAATACTTTTTTAACTTGCATCCTATTTGATTAATAAAACGAATCTCGTGTCAAATCAATTCCTTGCTGTAGGAACCGATTTAACTAAAAAACTACTGAATATAACAACATGAAATTTAAACATACAGACGTGTTCAAATTATTAGCCTAAATTTTTTTCGAAAAAGATTTACATTTATTACCTGTTTACATTCATAAACATGATACAGTCATTTAAAACTTACTTTACGTATGCGTGCTTTTGTTATTAATCAACAACTTTATTTTGTTTGGCTTAATATTTACCAACTTTTCATCTGAGTTTTTAATTTCATTGTCACGGTATCAAATCTCCTCTAGTTTGTCCACGTTCTTGAATATTTCCTTATTCTTTTCTTAGTAATAGCCCATTATTTGTGTATGGGGTTTAAGTCAGGGCCTTTCACGGACATCACACTTATTTTTTCAATTGAAAACGGTATCGGACCCCCAATCAATCAAAACTGAGTCACAGTTGGCGGAGCTGACGTCTCCCTTTCCTAAGAGAAAACTTGACACGTTTTTTCCACTTCTGTTCCTATTATACTATATTATCTGGTTGCTCTCTATCTCTATCACTATCTCGCTCAGGTGTTTACAAACACGCTCATATTAAGCAGACCTCTTTCTCCCGCACGCTTCGCCCAGCTCTACTGCTCGTCCACACATCCTGAACCCACCTCTTCTGCCCGCTCAACACTGCTTAGAGCTGCGTGTCTCAGAAAAATAATTTCAAACACATAGGGCTGAAGAGGGTTGAAGATAAACTCTTTCTAAATTAAATCCGGTTGGAAATTTCATGTAAAAAAGTTACATTTGCGACATTTGGCTTTAATTGATGGATAACTTGTTATACACTGGCGTTTCAAAGATAACATTCTGACACAAATAGATTTTGTGTACCTGCTGAACAGCAGTGAATGATAGGCTCCTAATAGTTGAGAGCAAATATCATATGAGTAACTTCGTTACGAGGATATGAAATTACTCACCATGTGTTTGTTCATCAGCAAAAAGTGATCATCTTCGACACACAACATGCTCTAGAAATTTGAACATTTGTTGTCAGAGATCCGTTCGATTCTATACCCTTTGAATGGCATTCTATTCTATTTGAATGAACGATCGATCAATAAAGTCGGAAGGCAGTTCCCGCACAGAGAGGAATGGGTGGGGGCGACACGGTCGACATGCGACGCGCTGAAGCACATTATTCACATTTGCTCAAATCACCCAATTCACAGGCCCAACATGTTTAACAGGCTTTCGAGTGAGGCGATTATGAGGGCTGTGAGAGGTTATTTGTGTTCATTCCAGGTTATTATATTTCATTACTGCCATTAACTACACCAATTCATCGTAACTGCTCGTAGTAAATACGTAATAATTGATGATGGAAATAGTAAATAATTATGTTTCTGAAATAAAATAACTATGAAACTAATCAAAATAGTGTATTGCACAAATGTTTTCTAAATATTTACTACTCTTTGAACAAATTTTAAATTGTAATGTGAGAAAATTACCAGAAAGCTTTACATTAATACTATATTTGTCGTATAATTTGCAACAGTTACATAAATTTATATTAATTATTTTGCAAATTACATACTACTATTATTTCTGATATCTGTTGTGACAACTATCTTGATCATA